TATTTTCTAATTTTCATAAGATTCAATAGAGAATTAGAAAATAATTTAACCCTGAAGTCAGAACTTCTACTAAATTCACATTATTTCCATGACTTAGGTGTCTTAATTTTCACAAGTATAATAATTGAAAAAAATCCCTTTACAATTTTATGGTTTATAGGGTCTGGTATTGAGAATCTCCGTAAAATGATGTTGTATAGAGTGTTATGAAGAGGAGAACAGCTAATCTTAAAACCATAGAAGTATTTAGTGTGTGATTACATTTATGTAATATTTTTGAAATGACAAAATTTTGGAAATGGAGGATACAATATAGGTTGCCAGGGGTTGGGAGGGGGCAGAGAGGAAGGTAGGTGTGGTTACACAAAGGCACCATGGGGGAATCCTTGAAACTGTTCAATATCTTGACTGTGATGATGAACACACAAACCTACACGTGTGATTACATTGTTCAGCACTAAATACAAACACAAGTAAAACTGAAAATCTGAATAAGATTGGTAGATTGTATCAATATCAATATCCTGGTTGTGATACCGGCATTTGCAAATTGTTACAATTGGAGGGAAACTAGGCAAAATGTACAAGAAATCTCTCTGTATACAACTGTGTGATCTCAAAGTTTTATTTAAAAAATGCAAAAAAGTCTCATTAATCCAGAAACAATAAGAGATAACATACAAGACCTTTTTAGCCTCGGAAACCAAGGAGACACTCAGAGCTGCCCCCACCCCAGCAGAGGTGCAGGCAGAACAGTGCTGCCAAAGTGGCCCTTCTCTGACTCTCCTCCCTATCTGAGCTACAGTTGAAGGATTTCTGGGAAGGGAGGGAATAAAATAGAGGCATACTGTACACTGGACCTGATCATCCCAGAAAACAACACAACCCAATAATGTACGGAGCAATGCAAACGGCTAAAACATGTATCTACAGGCTATCGGCAACAGAATTGCAGAAAAGTAATTGTGTAGTGAGTGATTTCATATTATCCCCTCCGGTGGACCATACACTTCACCAGGAAGTAGAAGCATGAGCAGTCATGCTCACCGTTATATCTCAGCCCCTAGCACTGCATTTGACATGTAGAAAATGCTCAATATATGTTCACTGTGTTTGGATGAAAAAAATGAAAAGCCCATATGGCTTGTTCTATAGTATGGCTTCTCTTTTCCTTCCCTACAAATCTCCTTCATTTTCTCCTCACCCATCACCTACACTTAAACACATACACAGGGATCAAGGCTGGGCAGTCCTTTAACCTATCTGTGCCTCCGCCCTGCTCACCTGTGAGACAAGGATAACAATAATCCCTGCTTCAGAGGACTGCCATAAGAACTTTAAAAATTAAAAATTCAGCACTTACAACAGTATTTGGCAGATTGTAAGTGCCATGTTGGTGTTTGTTCAACTGCCACATAATTCTGACACAGATTAAGAGTTAGCTCAGACCTGGCAGGTGAAGGGCACCATCCTCCTCCACAAGCTCTGGGGTTCCCAGGCCACCTGTGCTACCGACACACTCTCTACAAATTTGGGGGGTTCCCACTCCCCCTTGGATTCAATTAGTCACTAGGTTGACTCATTGAACTCAGGAAAGTGATGTACTTAGGATTACAGATTTATTGTAAAGGATACAAATCAGGACCAGACAAATGACTAGATGCACAGGGCGAGGTCTGGGAGGGCCCCAAACACGAAGCTTCTTTGTCCTCAGTACTCCTTACCTGGCAGCATATCAATACATGAGTACCAACCAGGAAGCTTACTGCAGCTTCAGTGTCCAGGAGGTTTTTATCAGGGTTTCAGTACACAGACATGGATGACTGAATCATTGGCTCCAGCCTCCCTCTCTTTCCTACTTGGGAAATTTCAAGGCTTTAGAGGTTATCTCCCAGGAGCCAGGGACAAAGATCAGCCAAATTCTTTACTATACAACATACGGAAATTTTAGTAAATTGAATAGGCAGAAGGGAGGACAAAAAAAAAAAAAGCATTTCAGGAAGGGAGGTGTCTGAAAATAAAGAGGCAGAAATAAGTGTGGTATGGTCATGGTACAGTAGAAAGACCTGTTAGGTGATTAGCTTTGCTATGTTGGAATGTGCCAGCCTTGAAGTTGAAAGACCATGGGTCTGCTATTCGATAACTATGGTGCCATCTTGTGGGAGTATAGGGATCATTGTAAACCAGCTTAAATCCTTTCTCTGAGAGGGGGACATAATTTAAATAGGTATACACAGAACTTAGTGGATTGAAACAACAAAACTATATTATCTCTCACAATACTGTGGGTTGATGGGGCAGTTTTCTGGCTTCATTGCAATTCATGTTTCTGCATCAGCTGGCTGATGGCTGGACTGAAACTCCAAGAAGGCCTCTTTCACACATGCAGTGCCTTGGTGCTGACAGCTAGGGTGCCTACAGAATGTCTCTCTACAGGTGATGTCTCAACTTCTAGTGCTTCTCTACACGATGGCCTCGCTACAGCAGGACAGTCTGGACTCCCTGACAAGAGAGCAAAAGCAGAAACTGCCAGTTGTGTTAAGGCACACCACTTTTTCCACCATGTTCTTTTGGTCATAGCAAGTCACACGACCAGTCCAAATTCAAGGGGAGGGGGAGCAAATTTCATATTCTGATGGGAGGAGCAGCATGTTGCATGTGTGTACAGGGAGGGAAGGAATCATCACAGCTGTCTTCAGAGACTCTACCATATTCTCTGATTCCCAGCTTACTCATCTGAAAATGTGTATTTTATTATCTACTTCAACTAGATTAATGAGATTAAAACACATGATATATAAGTGACAGCATTTTATAAATTTTAAAGTGCTAAACAAGTACAATATATTATAGTGGTGGGTGGTAAAGGCAGATTGGAAGAACGAGAGCAGATTATAAAAGGAGATAGATTGTAATAACATTTATTGAGCATTTACTATATGTCAGGCATTGTACTAAGTGTCTTACAGGTATCTTCTTTAAATTACCACAACAAACCTTAAAAGATGGATATTTCATTTTATTTTACAAGAAAGGAATTGCAAGTGAGTGGCAGAGCCAAAATTGGAACCCAATTCTGTTTGGTTCCAAAGTCTTAACTACTGTACCCAGAGTTCTTCGATCACTTTTATCTAATCAATCTGCAATTGGGTAAGGGGAGGTAGCAGCTACCCAGAAATACTGAAACAAATTTTTTGGAGGCAGAACCCATAATCTGCATTTTTAACAGCTAGTTAATGTGGGAGAAACATTCAACCTCACTGTATATAGTAAGCCTTCTAAGGTTTTTCACTAGTTCAAAGATACTAAGAAGACCAGCTTAGAGGAAATGTAGGATTGCAGGTGTAGAAGAAAACAAATTAGAAAAGTGCCTGGCTATTGGGAGAATAATTATGTTTTCTAGAGGTTGATGCTAAAGCTTGGAAATGAAAGTAAGACTAGAAAAGTTAAAAGTCAGACCCAACAACTTGCAAATAACCAAATTTATGTTTATTTATTAATTCATCAATTTTTTTACCTTTTTGCCTTTGGGCTTGTTATTTCCTGTGCTAGAAAACCCCAAGTTCCTTCACCCCACCCAACTTGGCTAACATTTATCCCTTTTGGGTCTGATGAAAGATATGCGCCTTCTCTGGGAAGTTCTTTCCGGCCATCTCCCACCCCCCAGGCGTTCCACATGTGTGCTGTGCCTTCCTCCATCCTATCAGGCCCTAAATGTTGGTTTGTGTGCCTTCTTCAGCACTAAACAGGAGAACCTTGTGTAGGAAGAGAGGGGGGAGAAAAGGAGAGATTACTAGTAAGAGATGGGTCTTAGAAAGAGCCACCGCAAAGTTGCACCGTGTTTGTACTTTGAACAGGCGTGAAGACCTGTTGAGAATAGAAGATGAAGTTTATGGCAGCGGTTCTCAACCTGTGCATCGAGACCCCTTTGGGGGTCGAACGACCCTTTCACAGGGGTCGCCTAAGACCATCAGAAAACACATATATAATTACATATTGTTTTTGTGATTAATCACTGTGCTTTAATTATGTTCAATTTGTAACAATGAAAATACATCCTACATATCAGATTCATAACAGTAGCAAAATTACAGTTATGAAGTAGCAACGAAAATAATTTTATGGTTGGGGGTCACCACAACATGAGGAACTGTATTAAAGGGTCGAGGCATTAGGAAGGTTGAGAACCACTGCTTTATAGTTTACCAAACGGCAGCAGTTTGATACAGGGCAGCCCCATAGATGTCTCTTCATGACCAGGACAATTAAAAGCAGCCTGGAAAACCCGTCCCTCCAATAATTACATGCATTTTAACTTAGCCCATATAACAGCTGGTTGAAATTTTGTAAATACAAGAACAGATTTTTTTTTTCTTCACATGGGCTCGAATGAGCCTGATAAGTGATCTGAGCAAATTACTTAAGGCACCTTCCCATCCGGGCAGCACCTGCCCCAAGCTAGCATGGCGGCATCGGCTTCATCCCGGTCACACCCCTAGTTACCCTATGGGCCTTAGTGGAGCCCGGGCTGGTAGACTGCGCTGCCCGACGCGCTTTGATGACGGCGCATCCGCGCCTGGGAAGCGGGACAAGCAAGTCTGC